CGGGGATCAAATGTAGATTGAGTAATCAGCTATCAGGTGACTTGCCCCGAGGGGGACCGATCAGGTAGCAGCTTCGGTTGGGTTTTGATGTCGAGTAACGTGGTTCCAGTGTAGTAGTCGACAGGTCATTCCAGATTCTTGGAATGAGGGGGTTTGATTTGCCGCAGCCCCGCGTTGCATTCAGTCCAACATCATCTTGCATCCAGGAGACAGGAGACCGAGACCCCTCGGGAATGTGTGCTCAAGGTAAAATAAATTCGGACCAGGAGTGTACGGGGACAGAATTAATATGGGATATCTACTTCCAGCTTATCATTTCTGGTGGAGTTGATTGTATTGATCGGGGAGATAAAGCAGGAGATAAGTCGGCCACTATCGATAGAGGGGAAGAACAATGATAAGGGATCCATCCGATACGATAAGGTGCGGAGAGACCAAAGAATGAAAGAAGGTTCAAGTCAATGATTACCGTACCAATTCACAGGTCACATGCTGTAAGGGAGGAATGCAGCTGCAAAAGGAGTCCAGCTTCTTCTGCTTTCCTTTTTCCTGCTTTTCATTTTCATACGTACTATATATCCCTTGGTTTCCCTTTCCCTTCCTCCTCTCTTCTGCACTTACCTCCTCCTCCGTCTTTATACCTATCCTAATCACCACCAGCAAATATGACCACGGATGGCCCCGACAAGACCAGGGCTGACGGGACAAGCGTCCAGGCCGCTCCTTCACCAGAATCTCATTATAGCACCCATATCGTCGTAAGTTGGAACCCATAGCACTCCGCCGCAAGGTTCCCCACACACTGATCTATGAACTAGTTGACCACCTATCCCGGGCAAAGTGGCATAGACCCCGTGCCCCTAAACTGGGGTGCAAAGGACGCCAAATCCCGTGGCCCAGTCGTGGTCTCACGCAGTGGGCCATTGCTCAAGCGACGCAATGCCATGGGCGCCCATGGCGGTAGCTACAGCATTTACAACGCCTTGGCCATCGCTGCCGGCGACCTCCCCCCTGACTTCCGTCCGGACTTCAAGAACAGCGAACCCACCTTTAACTTCCCCTGGCAACCCGCCTGGGCCGACAAAGACAAGATCGTGGCAATGGACCCCTACGGTCACGACATCGTCAATCAATTCCGGGATGAGTTGAACGCCGGTTGGGATATCCGGCCTACCATGGCTGTGACCCGAGCTAATATGAAATTGGCGGAGATCGGCGAGGCAGTGCGAGACGGGAAGCTCGACGTCGATGGTTCAATCGTAGTAGATTCCTCGGGTGAAGTCCGGGTAACGAAGGTCGCCGTCGAGCCGGTGTGGTATCTCCCTGGAGTTGCGGACCGATTCGGCGTCTCGGAACCGATCCTGCGTCGGACACTCTTCGAACACACGGGCGGCAGCTACCCGGAGCTGATCACTCGGCCGGATCTCAAGATCTTCTTACCGCCTATTGGTGGTCTGACGGTGTATATCTTTGGACCGCCCGAGCGTGTGTCGGACGAGAACGTGAAGCTGGCCTTACGTATCCACGATGAGTGTAATGGAAGTGATGTCTTCCAGTCTGATATCTGTACATGCCGACCTTATCTGGCGTTCGGTATCCGGGAGGCGATCCGCGAAGCCCAGAATGGAGGCAGTGGTGTTGTTATCTACTTCCGAAAAGAAGGTCGTGCCTTGGGTGAGGTCATCAAGTACCTGGTGTACAACGCCCGCAAGCGTGGCGGCGACACGGCCGATAAATACTTTACGCGCACGGAGAACATCGCCGGTGTGAGAGATGTATGTCATTACGTTAACTTTATCCTACCTACTATCACCATACTGACATCCTATCTAGATGCGCTTCCAGGCTCTCATGCCCGACATTCTCCACTGGCTCGGAATCAAGAAGATCGACCGCATGCTCTCCATGTCCAACATGAAACACGACGCTATCGTCCAATCGGGCATCAAGATCCTCGAACGAGTCCCCATTCCCGAAGATATGATCCCCGATGACTCGCGCGTTGAGATCGATGCGAAGATCAACGCCGGATACTTCACGACGGGGCGACAGTATACCATGGAAGAACTGGCCGAGGTGAAGGGACGCGGCTGGGAGAAATGGGAGGATATCACGGTAAGCTCGCGCCTTATCTCTTATGGAATAACCGTCCACTGACATCTTCATAGCATTAAACTGGACTCACAGCGACATTAACCGAATCAACCTACGAACTGGATGATAACATATGACGACCTGACTTTCGATCGAATTCACAGATGGGATTTTTCATTGCGCCATCTTATGCATAGTTAATTGAACTCTATTAACGAAACTTGTCACCGTGATCTCTTCTGTAAAAGTTGTACAAAATCCCCTCGCCAGTAAGCGTACGTGTGATGTATGTGCATGAAAGTAGATATAAACGTAGATAACTACACCGATCTACAAAGTAAGAAGAAGACAGAACATAAATCAACGACCGGCACTACTCCCGACCAATGTCCTCCACCCCAAATGACCAGAATCCCATTTGAACGTCATAGAACCACATCCCAGAAACAGCCTGAAGGACACACCACCCAGTAGAAATCGCGAATTGGAGATCTCGGCCCAAAGCTCCGTTGATAGCGGACGATAAGCGGGCAAAATCTCGGTATTGCATCCCGAGCACGGAAACTTTTCCTGCGATTCCCCGCTTTGTGATGACTATATAAGATCTCATTATCCTGAGATGATCATGTAGTCCAATTATTGAAATATCACATTCTACATAACTACGTTTACTATCTTTACTTTCTACACTTATTATAAAATTATAGAACATATTTTTTTTTTGGAAGAGACGCAAGAACACATCAAAGATGGGCTCCCACGTCACCCCGCAACCCCACGTCCCCAAAGCCGGGGTATGGTGTCCCGCCATCACCTTCTTCGACCACAGCACCGACACAATCGACTTCGTCGCACAAAAGAAATACTACTCCTACCTCTCTAAGACTGGACTAGCTGGCCTAGTCATCCTCGGCACAAACTCCGAGGCCTTCCTCCTCACCCGCGAAGAGCGCGCCCAATGCATTGCTGCGGCTCGCGAAGCCGTCGGCCCCGATTTCCCGCTCATGGCGGGTGTGGGCGCCCACTCCACAAAGCAGGTGCTTGAGTTAGCGCATGATGCTGCGGCCGCGGGCGCGAATTACTTGCTTGTGCTCCCGCCGGCGTATTTCGGGAAGGCGACGACGATGGGGGTGGTGAAGAAGTTCTTTGCCGATGTGGCGCGTCAGTCGCCCTTGCCGGTTGTTGTGTATAACTTCCCTGGGGTGTGTAATGGAGTGGATCTTGATTCGGAGACTATCACGGCTATTGTGCGCGAGTCTGCTGCCAGCCGGGGAGATGGCAAGAGTAATGTGGTGGGTGTGAAGTTGACTTGTGCTTCGGTGGGTAAGATTACGAGGTTGGCGGCCACATTCAAGCCAGAGGAGTTTGCTGTCTATGGTGGTCAGAGTGATTTCTTGATTGGAGGACTTAGTGTTGGGTCTGCTGGGTGCATTGCGGCGTTCGCGAATGTGTTTCCTAAGACCGCGTCGAAGATTTACGAGTTGTACAAGGCCGGAAAGGTCACGGAAGCTATAGACTTGCAGCAGAAGGCGGCGCTAGCCGAGAGTCCTTGTAAGAGCGGCATTGCGTCGACCAAGTATGCTGCCGCGATTTACTCGGCGCCCTTGGCCGGAATTGAGGGGGCCGAGGAGAAGGCGAAGCCGAGGACGCCGTATGAGGAACCCGGAGAGGGTGCTAAGAAGACGGTGAGGGAGTTGATGGAATCAGTGTCTAAGCTTGAAGTTAGCATCTAATAATCCAGTGGATATGCGCGAATTCAGGTGAACTCAAATAGGAAGCTCGGGTTATCTCCACGACGGGCCCCCATATGTGTATAGTGTGTTATTCTTGGAAGTTGTACTGCGATAGACCTAGTGTACTTCGTTCATCCAATGATTAGAAATCGGAGAGTCATGGTTTTGTGCGAGTGGAATGTTTCCCATGCTTTCAAAATGCCTCGTCTCCACGTTGGGGAGATTTCGCCGAACCGTCTCCGAGTGAACCCCATGGTCGTAGTTAGATGGTAGTAGCAAACATTTCTGGATAAACTGGGTATCCGGGTTTAACTAAATGTAGCCAGGCTGATGAATGGGCTGGTGCCTGGTGAAGGTGAGCCAAAATTCGATATAGATTTATATATCAGCAAGTTGGCATTGGAACCCACAGTTAATGCCCTTGATCGTGCTGAAATTACTACTGCATTCGCCCACAACTGTAGGTTTCCAGAACAGACGATTCATGGGCGGCTCCAGCATTTACTCCACTGAAGAAGAGCTGCTGGGGAATTCGTTGTTTGTGGGGTGTGAAGAGAAAATCTCCCGATAAATCACCGGCGGTAAGGCCATTGCTTCGGCTCCCCGCTTCCAGCACAACGCTTCTCCGGCTGGGGTAGCATTGCCGGAGCGATCACTGCAAGCACAGGGTAAATGTGAGATCTTCGCAAATGTCATGCCTGAACAACAGCATTGAATGGGACTATGGGGTTTATAAAGGTCGTGAACGAGCAGATATCTGTCCAGGAAACGGCCCAGTCACTACTAAAATATATGATGTACCTGAAGGCAATATCCCCACACTAGTTCTTAAGTCAACACCTTGGCGTGTTTAGGGCAGTTGGAAATTAATTTTCTCGTATGCATGACGTGGGTATGCCATCCTGCTAACCAGCAATCGCAGTGCTCAGACCGTTTGATATCCACACATGGTTGAACTGAGTTCTCGACTTCATCCACTTGGAGCCTTGGAATGCAAAGGCCATGGTGCCTAGCCTTTCCCTTGAAGGGCATGCCATGCGTGCATCGCCGCGAAACGGGAATTTGGACGAGGGGAGCCCACTATAAATACCCTAGCCACGTCCCTCCGACAGAACAAATCCCAGAATTGCAATCCAGGTTGCTACCTATAGCTACTGCAAGAGACCTGCCGATATGCATATCAAGCCATTCCTCCTTCCTGCCCTTGCGGCTGTTGCGCAGGCTGCTAGTTACTCTGGCGACCTTCGGCCTCAAACACACTTCTCTCCACCTTCCGGCTTCATGAACGATCCCAACGGCCTCTTCTATGATGGCAAGAGGGGCGTGTATCACTTGTACTATCAGTGTGAGTCTATTCTTGTCACTCAAGCCAGACACGCGTAATAATGAGTGAATAGATAATCCTACAGAGACAGTCGCTGGGAATCAGCACTGGGGCCATGCCACCAGCCTGATCTATACCACTGGACAAATCAGCCTATCGCCCTCGCTGGGGACAAGCCTGAAGAATATATCTTTTCAGGCTCTGCTGTGGTGGACAGCAACAACACCTCAGGATTCTTTCCCGATCAGGACGACGGTGTGATAGCCATCTACACAGTCGATACCCCGACACTTGAAACACAGCACATTGCTTATTCCCGCGATGGTGGATACACTTTCACCAAGTATGAGAACAACCCGGTCATCGACATTGGCTCGAAGCAGTTCCGTGACCCGCAAGTAGTGTGGCATCCCGAGACTCAACAATGGGTGATGACTATTGCCTATGCGCAGGACTTGGTCATTGGATTTTACACATCACCCAATCTCAAAGACTGGACGCATGTGTCGAACTTCACCCAGGCAGGGCTGCCGGGCGACCAATTTGAATGTCCCAACTTGGTCAAGTTTGCTGTGGATCCCGCTGTGTCCAAAGAGACTAGCAAGTACGTGCTTTTCATTTCCGTGAATCCTGGCGCTCCTCTCGGGGGTTCGGGAACGTTTTATGTGGTTGGGGATTTCAACGGCACCCATTTTACATCCGAAGTTACCCAGGAGACGCTTTTTGATTTCTCCAAGGACAACTACGCTGCTCAGTGGTATTCTGGCATTCCTGAGAACGAGCCTCCTGTCTCCATTGGCTGGGCTAGCAACTGGGATTACACCCAAGAGGTTCCCACTGGCCCTCTCGAAGGCTGGAGGAGCGCCATGACTTTACCTAGAACGCACGCCTTAACTAAAGTTAATGGAGTCTGGACTGTGACTCATAGCCCGTTTGAGGGCCTCTCTGCTATTAAGGGTAGGCAGCTTGTGAGCAAGAGCTTCCAGTCAGGAGACGTGAAAGCGAATTTCTCTGGGGTCCCATCGAAGGCTGTATATTTTGATGTGATGCTGAAGGGCATCGATGTTGCCAAGCCTGCGGGACGCGTGAGCTTTAACTTCACCTCGTCTGCATCGGGAGAATTCCTCGACGGAGGAGTGTCCCTGGATGACCGTTCTTTCTGGATCAACAGAGCTGGAACCCATCTTTTCACGATTGAAGATAATGGGAACTACACATCCTCTTCCACAACCACTATCTCATCATTTGGCAACGGCACGTTCAGCTTTTCGGGGGTTATCGACCGCTCTGTGTTTGAAGTCTTCCTTGGTCAGGACGGGATCCAGAGCGGAACCATGACATTCTTCCCAAGCTCCCCACTCGATACCTTGGCTGTTTCCGCAGAGGGTCTCAGTGGTCGGACTAGTGTTAGTGTCAAGGCTTGGGGTCTCCAGAGCGGCTGGAACTCAACGACAGCCAGCAAGAGGTTCCGCGCCTGAGTCAATTGGCTCTCAGAGGGTCTCAGTGTATGATTGTAAAGTTATCGCATGGATGCATAATTGAAGAATTCAATGTTAGAGCTGATTTCGTATCAATGTTCTCCAGTTTGTACCCCGTACACCGTAAGGTTAACATGACTCCGTACTTTGGTGGATGCTCAATAGAGGGGGCACTCTGCATTAGTTGGATTGCTTTCTGCGGTCCAGAGCATTGGAGAGTCCCAAAATAAACGGCATGATGTAATGTCACGTGTCATTTGAGGGCTTCGCTGCCGCCTGAGGCGGAAGGTAATATTACATAGTCAGACAGTACAACCACTCAAGAGGCAACGATACAAGTCCCCAAGCTCGTAATACCATAACACCTGTCGGTTTGCCGGAACTGCAGTGTCCCGCGATCATACGACGCTTAGCACCGAATCTTGGCCGAGGGTCAGTCGCCATTGCTGTCAGGCACCACTTTGTCCTTCTTCCAACGATGTGCAGAAGTGCGAACAGGTGACTCTGCTCTGCTACGTGGTTTCCAATAATAAATCTATTATCACTATATCCTTGTCTCTGCATTGGCGAATACACAGAGAAGGAAACAAGAAAAAAAATCCCAAAGAAGAAAGGAAGAAGATCTTATCTGCTGGGGCAGAGTGTTCCAACTGTGGCTCGTACCGTTCCATGTGAGAGGGTCTAAGCCGCGTACTCAACCACCCAACGCCGTCTCGATAAGATCTTTGAAAACACTAATTTTCGGCTCGTTTTCTTTTTTGTTTGTCAGACCTCAACGTGACTGACTAGTTCAGTTTGTCTGTCATGAAGAACAACTCCAACTTTTCAAGTTAATCACTCCTTTCACAACTTGACCCTCGCATCAATTGCCACCCAATATAGCGCCTCCCTCCTTTTCTTTCCTTTTAAGGGGTCTCTCTCTATTATCGCCCCCCAATCATTCTCCACAGCCCAAAATTTAGCGCGTTCGGTTCTGGCTGATCATCAATCACCTTTCAACTCTAACCCGCCACTAGCCGGACTTGTTCTCTTTTGCCTGAGGTATGCACACCCTAGGTCCCTCTACCTGGTACTTTTGTCCAGAGGAACCATCCACCCTTCTGCTCCCACCTTCGTTGTCAATATCGGATGGTTAATAGGAGCAAAGGCTTGTTTCGCGATACTTACACGAAGCGGTTGATCTATACGCCCGCAAACCGACTCATAGCCTTAGGCTTGATGGTCCAGACCCTGGCGGTTGGACACAATGGCGATGCCTAGCATGAGTAGCGATTTCCAGCTCTTCTCCCCGGCCCAATCTTCGGACAGAAGGGAGTCCCAGACGGAATCCATGGCGTTTCTCCAATCATCGCCGGAGGATTCGGGCCAGGATTGGACACAATGGATGAAATGGGATGACCACTCCTTCCCAGAGACCACCAACGAAATTTCCCAATCGCCCTTTGATTTCTCATTTACCTCGCCCGGTACCTCGATTGGCAAGCAGAGCCTCGGCGCTGTTCGAAAACCCGAGTTCTCCCCAGATATTTCACTCGATTGCGTGACGAACCTCCCGTTTGATTCCTTCCTAGGCCAGGATGGCAGTGGCGGGCTTCCCCCTCACCGAAGTTCAAACGCGGGCATGGATATGCAGTCTGCTCAGTCGACCACATCTGGATCACCTATATCTCTAGCAGGTGCCCAACGCAAGTCCGGCAGCGATGACGATGGATCAACAGTTAGCGGCTCAGCTCCACCCGGAAAGAAGATGCCCTCGAAGAAACGAGCCCATAATGTAATTGAAAAGCGATATCGGGCCAACTTAAATGAGAAAATTGCCGAGCTCAGAGATAGCGTCCCCAGCCTCCGGGCTTCGAGACATCTGGTGGACGAAGACGACGGGGAGGGTGTTACGCCAGCCAACAAGTTGAACAAGGCCTCTATCCTCTCCAAGGCAACGGAGTATATTCGACACCTGGAAATACGTAATAAGCGGCTGGAAGATGAAAATACTGCTCTCAAGATTAGACTACGACAATTAGACAAGGCTGTCGATCAGAATGTGACATCTGCGGCCTCGGTTTCTTCACCGAGCAATTACACCGAGTCTGGTGCAAGCTCGTCACCAAGCGTCTTCTCAAACGCCGAGGATGTTCCCAGTGATCCTTCCCCGAGTTCTCTTCATCCCCCGGAGGGTATGATTCAGGTGCCTGATGCCTTCAAGCGCATGCGGGCTGCGGCTCCGAAAGATGAGTCGTGGTCTCAATCTTACATCCAATACCCAAGCAGCGGTAATACGTCCCCTCAGTCGGGCAGCCGCAAACGTTCCTACTATCCTAATAAATACATGCTTGGCGCGCTTGCTGGCCTTATGGTCATCGAGGGAATGAGTTCGGAGAAGAAGACAGAATCAACAGCAAAAGGGCTCCTGGCTATCCCGGTCAACTTCTTCAATAACATGCAACTGCCACCGACCGGCTATTGGGTTGCCATGGCTCGTAGCTTCTGGTATTCATGGCACGCCCGCGCTATTTCCCACTTTCTCATCCTTGCCACTCTCGTTGTCGGCAGTGCGTTCATCGTTTTCGTTTACCTTTTCAACTCCGGCGGGCCTGGGCTTCAGTACTCCTCTTCAAAATCAGCATCTGCCACGCTGTCGTCCAGCAACTTCCGGCGTCAGGCTTGGCTGACTAGTATTCAACGGGTTGGAGTACCCCGGCATAGGTTTTTCCACGAGTGGTATGTTGTGACATCGAGGTGTTTTGAATACGTCTTGCGTTGTTTGCTAGGATGGAAGCTCTACTCGTGGGCCACAGGAATCACCGAAGAGGACGAAAGGGGCCGAGTGAAGACATGGGACATTGCGATCGATGCCCAACTGGCTGGTGGTGACGCAGAGGTTAGCAAAAGTCGCCTTGTTTTGACCATCTTCGCTGCTGGCACCCTTCCTCGAAGCCCAATGAGAATGATGTTGAAGGCTTTCCATTGTCGCATATTGCTTTGGCGCGTGGGTGACCCAGGCTCTTGGACCTTTAACGTCTCCAACGACGTTGCCCGTAGCCTGGCACGGTACCAATGGGACCTTGCCCGGAAAATGAATTCGTCCCTGCCAGAGGACCACCCAGATGCCCTCCCCAGCCATCTAGCTGCCTTGCTCGAGCTTGATAGTGAAGAGGTCATGATCGACAGCGTCATCCAAAGAGCCGCAAATCTTACTTGGAACCGTCCTACCCAGGAAGGGACGGATGGAGATGAAGCCCTACTCGATGTAGTGGAAGAGGATCCTGCCATACAGTCCTCACTGGACGCGCTTGCTGCGTGGTGGTCTAGCCATCTGTTACAGCGAGCCCTTCTGAGATACTTCGAGGCTAGTGCTGGCGGTCAAGACAGGAGGAAAAGCCGTGACCTGTTCAAATCCAAACTCAAAACAGCTGTCAATGTAGCGCCTCAGCCGTCGGCGGCGCATACGCGTGCTCTGGTTATGCAAGCCGTTTTCTTCGAACAAGATCGCGTGGCAAATATCAATATGGTTCTTGCAGCACTGCCCAAGGACAAAGGAAAAACCAAAAAGGCCCAGGTTTCGAACTTCCTCGACTCTTCTCTTCCCGCATCTGTTCGCGATGAGATCAACATTGCCGTGCGCTGTGCAATGATCGCAGCCATCTTCACAGCACGGACCACCGGAGATACATCTCTGCCTGCATCCTTCACGATGCAGAAAGCAATTTCCTGGTTTAACCAGCTACCTTTGGACCCCGTTGAGCTAACTCTTCTTGGGTTCGCCGCTACCTATCATCTTCTGCACGTCCTGGCCTCGGATACCGACTACATGAATTCATCGGATTCCTCAGTTCCCTCTTCTCCTGTCTCTAGACATCGATCCTTGTCCTCTGGCGATGAGTCCGACAGACCAGCGCCATCTCGCAACCCGAAATGCTCACCACCCCTCATTCCCAATCTAAGCCGTGTGGCTTCGGAGCTATCGTACTGGGCGAAGAACGCGTATAACCCGGCTTTCTACGGATTCACTTCTCATCTTGTGGGAGTTGTTGACTCAGAATGCAAATCCCTGTGCCATAGCGTGGGGGTCGATTTGGTCGACTATTCTCGTATCCAAGAGGAGAGGAGGGAAGCTATACGGAATAAGGACAAAAAGAAGAAGCCACGCAAGAAGTCGAATGAGGGTTCGCGACAAAGCAGCCAGCCAACCCCTAATATCAACCGAGCCCAATGCTCTAGGCCGGAAAGTTTACATGAAAATGGGGCGTGAAAAGATATGATCTGCCTTCGCATGCATGCATTACGGTTGATGTCGCTGTCTAAGGGTTGGTTTTTCTCATGACTTGTTACTTTAAAGGACACTTGGTAGGTATTGCACGATGGGCTACTTCTGGTATTAGGGTGTATTTTGCTGGTGATGGAAAACGGGAATCGGAATATATACAACAAGTATCGGTCTATGGCGTTTTTCGGTTGATCTGCGGCCTGTTTCATGTATCTTCCCTCCGGCGTCCCTGAAGCGAACTAGACTAAAGCAGTCTCTCTCCTATTTGGTTGTTTGCTTGTGTATAATGCCTAATAACATATATTGCGTGCAAGTCACCACTGGAATACCCCGATCTGCTCTTTTCGCTCGCGTCAACCCGGTCTCGTTGGTGGACGTTCTCATCAGGGAGTTGATGTATTTTTATCTTCTGTCTGACAATTTGCTAGTGATCGGCGATGTGCCCGGATCGGTTGAAGCTACGCCGCATGCGGCTGGCGTTGAATTTGTGGCTGAAAGTTTAAGCCACGCGGCGATCACCAGTTTAGCTTCCGTACCTGCCACCTCGTATAAGGCTGACGCAAGCTGCTCTTCATCCTGTTATTAGTCGTGTGATCTACTTTGGAATACATGGCTTCTCGGTGACGCGCAGATTGACAACCGAAACCCAGCGTGGGCAACACTATGTTGACCCTCATGTTGACCCCGTCGTGTCGTCAGTGCAAGCCACCGTGCCATATCCTCTTCCAGGGCAGGAACAAGGATATGGGTTGGGCCGTGCTTGTTGTCAAGTCACCTTGACTGATAGCGGGTCTTCTAACACTTTTATCGTGAGAAGATTCGTGGCAGCCACTTCGTCATGATGAAAGCCGAATAAAGCCCGCGCCCCTTGGGAACTCCCATGGTTACCTCAGGGACTTGCGCAACAGACGAAAGTCTAAATATACAAATCATCATAACGTTACAATATGGTCTTGAACCATCTTTCTTCAATAGATGCACATAACTGCCGACACAATAACCGGCTGGACCTTTACGCAATCTTCCACTTGTGTGCGGTTCATGACGTCGATCTTCGATTTGACAACACTCTCGCTGTGAGTCTGTGAGTCAGTAGAAGCGTAAAATTTCGCTGTGCCTACGCTGCCTAGATAGTACCAGAGCCAGTATAATTCCTCTGGATCACTAGCCTAAATCTCATGGTAGACACTGCCACGTGCCGGGAATGAAGGGGGTTCCTCATGACACTGTCAGGTCGGCAACTCTCTCATACGTCATAATCCTATATTCAAGGCTCTCAGATCGCTTAGAAGGGTATAATATGCGTGGTAACTCTTGGAGAAGAGATCGTGGAGATCTCGGGTGGTTGCGGATGGCGGCTTGAGACCCTCGACTTTCGGTATCTCCGTTTGCGGCGCCGTGGTTTCATCGGTTCAGTCAACTGCAGATCCACCCCGTGCATCCGACCAACCGACAAGGGACGAAAGTAATGCCTATAGGGAGTTGTGGAACTAGTCCTCAAAAGCTTTAGTCTATGTCGTCAGTTTGCTGATTTGCTCAAGATCCAGGCGGGGAAACAGCAGCACCTCTCCCAGGTCCAGAACACTAGGAAAACGTCTCATTCCAGAACCCCATTCCCCACATTCTTGGTTGTAATGACCTTCTCAGGAGCACTGTTCTCAATTTTCAACAGACTTGCTAGAATGCGGGTGTCTAGCCTGTCACGGCGCGGTCCATGGATGATTGTAGGCTAAAGCCAGTATGGATGACGGCATCGTTAAATACATGCCGTGCACAAGACCCGTGGATCATGGCAGGCGCAAACACATTGTTCTCGTTCCTGTATATTTATCTTGCCGTAGACAACCATCATACTCATTTTGGTACCTGTCCGGCTGGAAGGGAAGTGTCACCTCTGACTTGAGGTGGTTGTGCGGCTTTAGCAGTCCTCTTTGATTCACACATTCCAGCATCCTCTTCATTCAAAATGGGAGTAGATCAGCTAGAGCCGGGGAAGCAACACACCCGATATGACCACCCTCCTATGAACCCCGGGCTGGCAACACCTCTGTATGTCCTGGGCGGTTTCTTCGTTATCTCATTCCTCGGCCGCTCTATGATAAGGCTACGACACCATCGACGGCTGCGCGAGGTTCTCAGAGAGGATAAACAAGAAAGGTTCGCTCGCAACGGTGCTCTTTCAGCCTTTTTCAACAGACATGTCTTTTATGCACCGTTATGGTCTATTCGCCATAGTCGCGAGTTTCGCTTTCTGGGCCGGATCCATATGGGGATAATCCCACTACGGCTGGAGGCTGTTCTACTGCTCGCATACTTTGTGTTGAACATCGTCTTCTTTTTTGTACTTTCCAACTGGTGGTCGGGCTACCAGGAGACGATGTACCAAATCAAGTACGCCGCTGGTCACCTTTGCGTGATGAACTTGCCCGCACTTGTTCTCACTGCTGCTCGTAACAACCCCCTTATTCCAATGCTAGGGTTGCAGTTTGATACATTCAACCTAATGCATCGATGGATCGGGCGTCTCATTATCGGCGAGGCCGTAGTTCATATGGCCTGTGTGGTAGCAGGGAAAGCTAAAGAGAGTAAGTAAACCATGGTTTCTGGCTTGACCTGGCTTGGTGACTGACTGGTATGCAGTGAGCATGTCGGAGGTGACCCATCTTCTCTGGAACACGCCGTTCTTTATAGAAGGACTTGTTGTAGGTCTATGACTGAAACCCAGCTTGTCGTGTATGATCTAACGGGCCGTGATGATGACGGTAGGCCTTTATTGCGTTCATGGTGATACTATTTCAGTCCGCCTCTCCCATCCGACATGCCTTTTACGAATTCTTCCTTCATTTCCATATCATGCTTGCAATAACCTCATTTGTTGGCCTCTGGTATCACCTTCGCGGGTTGGCTCTACAACGTGTCCTGCTGGTCACGCTCATTCTGTGGGGTCTTGATGTAAGTCTTTACCAGTGCCGTGTTCTACCTGCACTGAGATTCTTCACATACTGTGTCACCCCGCTCCTAGCCTTCAGAGTACTTTCAGACTTAATCGAAGGCAAGACTAATGTTTCTTCACAGAGAGTTGGACGCTTGGGGAGTATCATCTGGCGCAACTTCGGGAAACAACGCACAATGGCCACTGTGGAGCTTCTTCCCGGCGATGTAGCTCGCGTTGATATAGCCTGGCGCGGTCATGGACCTTCAAGCCGGGCAATACATGTATCTCTACATGCCCTCCCTTGGTCTCTGGACATCGCATCCATTCTCCATCGCATGGACGGACGACCGAGCGAGTCTGACCGAAAAGCGCGGATCCAATGAATCACTCAGCATCTTGCTGGGAGGCCCGCAGCGTGAAATCATGTCCTTCCTGATCAAGCGACGGGACGGATTTACCAATAAGCTTCTCGCGAAAGTTAACAAGTCGATGGAGGGAAAGTTCACCGCATCTGCCCTGGTTGAAGGCCCGTTCGGTACGTTTAGGAAGTACCATGACTAGCGGGGCTATACTGATCGTCCATTTAGGTGGCCTTCATTCTCTCTCTTCATACGGGACAATTCTCTTAATCGCAGGCGGCATTGGAATCACCCACCCAATGTCTTATTTGCATGAGATCATGAGTAGATTTTCCCAGAAGTCGACCGCTGTTCGGAAGGTCAGCCTGATCTGGGTGATCCGCAGTATTGGTGAGTGTGCGCGGTGCAGATGAGAGCAACCTTCACTGACCATCTTCCAGACCATCTGGAATGGATCCAGCCGTGGATGACATCTCTCCTGAACCATCCGGCACTCCAAGTGCCGAGCGAACAAAAAGGCCACACATACTTCCAGTTCCCAGAATTCTCCCTCTCTATTCAAATATATCTCACGTTAAGTGAAAGTACAGACGAGTACTCGCTAGACGAGAGCCCCTGGACCAATTCCGCACCGCCAAGCGTACCCATCAGCGTGGTCTTCGGCAAGCCATCATTCGACCAAATCCTAGAAGACGAGAAGAAGCAACAGATAGGTGCAATGGCAGTCAGCGTGTGCGGACCAGGCGGGATGGGCGATGACGTCCGCAAATGCGTTCGGGATAACCAGGGGACGCAAACCATAGATTTATACGAAGCGTCGTTCTGCTGGTAGACGTGTACATTTCCTTTTTTATCTTGCTCGCTTAGCTTGCCCTTATCCATACTACTGATATATCCTGTTCCTAGCTCTAGATTATGCTTACACTGAATGAATGTCAATGTTGCTGATACCCGCTGCTGCACGTGCACTACATAGTTTGGTCCTGACTTGGGGCAAATTCAGTCTTTAATTCCTTACTGAACTTCATAGGGCAATTACGTCCGTTTCCCACTGCTGATCTGCAAGGTATCTCAACCAATTAATGTGTGAGAAGCGACTCAGCTTCCCCTCACAGCACGTATCACCCCATATGGGGTAAAAAAACAGCTCAACGCTGCAGCGGTGACGGCAATCCGACTCGGATTTCCGCAGCGTCGGCAATCGGGCTTTGACCGACGGCAATTGACCGCCCCGGAAGTATAAGTATACCTCAAGAGCAAACAACCGAAAAAGAAAGCAGAGAATACAACCTCAATTCCCTCTATTTGAAAAGAAAATACAAGAATAAATAGACCGTTTAAAATCACGACAAATACAAAAAGAAAAGAAAGAACAAAAATGCCACAATTCCGCATTCTCCACATCGGCGACAACATCAAATACAACCACGATGTGTACGCGCGCTTCTCGTCAGAATTCGAGATCATTCAGCCGAGCGCCGAAGAGCGCGAAAGGGAAGAGTTCATGCGGGCCTTGAAAGAGCGTCGCTGGGGGGACTTCCACGCCATCTTCCGGCCCTTCTGGAACACGGGGGGCGAGATGGGCCGCTGGGACAGCGAGTTGATTCCGCTTTTGCCCAAGAGCGTGAAGATCATGGCGTCCGCCGGGGCCGGGTATGACTGGGCGGATGTGGATGTGTTTGCTGAGCATGGTATGTCTCTGTCTCTGTCTCACTCCCTCTCTCTCTGTGTGTCTCTTGTTTCCCTCTCCACTTGGCCATTTCCGGCGTCAATTGGTGTCACCCCCCCGCCGGTTAAAGCCGTAGAATGTAACTGGAATATATTTTGTGGGGTAAAATGGAGACAACATGTGGGGAAAAGAGGGAAAAAAGGAAAAAAAAGAAAAAAGAAAAAGAAAGACACCTCTAGCTAATAAAAATGAATTGGTACAGGAATAATCTACTGCAACGGGGCAGCGGCCTCGTCGGAATCCGTCGCCGACATGACGATCTTCCTGATCCTGTCCGTCTTCCGCAACCTAGCCTGGTCCCACCAAGCCGCCCACTCCGCCAACCCGCAAGCCTTCGCCGACGCCCACAAAAACTCCCCGCTCACAGCGCGCAACCCGCGCAACCACGTCCTGGGCATCATTGGGCTGGGCCAGATCGGGTACATGATCGCGCAGAAAGCCCACGCCGCCTTCGGCATGAAGATCGCCTACCACGATCTCTTCCGGAAGACTCCCGAGCAGGAGTCTCGTGTCGGGGCGACGTACTACAAGGATTTGGAATCGTTGCTCGCGACCGCGGACTGTGTCGTTGTTGCCACGCCGTTTGCTGGTAAGACCTTGCTGACGCTGGAGCGGTTTAGGCAGTTTAAGAAGGGGTCGCGGTTTATTAATATCGCGCGCGGGTCGCTGGTCGATGAGGAGGCCCTCGTCCAGGTCCTGGATGAGGGCCATTTGGCTGCCGCTGGGCTGGATGTTCATGCGAATGAGCCTTATGTGCATCCGCGCTTAGTGAAGCATCCTCGTGTCATGGCCATGTCGCATAATGCCGGTGGCACTGTCGATACCCATATTGGGTTCGAGAGGTTGGCCATGGAGAATATTGAGGGCTTTTTGTTGAAGGGCAAGGCTTTGACGCCGGTTAATGCGCATTTGTTGAAGAGTAAGAGTTCTTTGTAGGTTGTTGCTTTTGGGGTTTATTATACCATTGTTTTTGTGCGTTCTTGTTTATAATTATTGGTAAAATTAGATAAGAATGAATTGTAACCGTTTCTGAGGGAGCAGTAGTAGATTAAGCTATGGAAGAGGCGATTGTTGGTGCATGGCTGACATGATGATGGATTATGCATCTATATTTAATACCACTGGCAAACGTATGATTAGTATTTATCAGGAAACTATTGCTTCGCAAATGCCCAGGTTTAAGACCGATATATCCATTAGCGTACCACCTAGGAACGCGCGTCGGATGCAATGATGCCTGCGGGATTATAAAAAGCAGTTTTCTAGGGCTCCCATTGAAAGAGCTTGAGACTGTTCCCCTGCTATGACTTTCTAGCCAACCTTGCCATTAATGTCTGGTGTTTTGTGCCCACAGTGGCGCCTTTAGCAAGAAGCAGATTAACAACCTCCTGAAGCTCTTCATCCTGGGCAATCGACAGTGGTGTCTCGCCAGATTCATCCTTTGCGTTGATATCAGCACCTTCTTGAACTAGCCTCTCGACAATACGCACGATTTTGGCGCGGTTGGAAGATAACATTGCTGCCACACGAATGGCAGTCATCAGCGGTGTCTTACCGTGCCCATCCTTTGCATTAACATCAGCACGCCTGTGAATCAGTATCTTTGCAATAGACTCTTTCTTCCCAAGGAGAGCATGGACCAGTGGTGACTGGCCATTATTCGATTTGATATTGATGTCAGCACCCATGTCAATCAGTGCCATCATAGCAGATATGCTATTACCATCGATAGCATAAACCAGTGGCGCAT